CAAAACAAAATCACCCCCCAAAAAGTGATTTTTCCGAAGTCCGATTGCAGCCATTTTTTAAATGGCAACCCTCAACTTTCTCGGGCACTTAGGACCATTTTTCAACCATAGTTTTCAGCCCTTCTGCCCTCATATGAAAGCTCAAAGATCCTCTAGCTCTCCGCCAGTGACGCACCAGAATCTTGCCTCGTTCCGAAAATCTCAGAAATTTATCGAACCCATTTGATTGATTGTCGGGTGCAGTGTTGGAAATTGGGGGATGGGGGTGGGGAAGGGGGAGGGGATAACTTGCCTGGCCATGAAAATGGGGGGGGGTGGAGAGTATATCCCCCGCCCCATTTTTGGGGGGGGAGTGGCTATTGAATCACTGCCCCCACCCACTTTTTTGTGATGAGCAAAAAAATTACAGCGGATTGTGAAGAATTTTCAGGATTTTCAGGCAGGCACTAATGAAAGTAAATGAACTTGTGTATGGGAGAAATATGGAAGGGTTGCGTAGCACCGTGATCAGAATATCGACAAGAATGTAATATCAAATCAGTGCTTAATCTGCTTGCCCTGAACTTAGGTTCTCAGTTACCGAAAGCTTGGCAATCACATATTTCAGAACACTGATTTGATGTTATATTCTTGTCGATGAACTTGTGTATGGGTTGTGTTCATAAAAAAACTCGTGAGGAGGCAACATCGTATCGCTTTTGCAATGGGAACGGAAAAAGCCACTTAATTACGGCCATTAAGGGGCCATTATAATGTTTTGAAAATCTGCCGAGCAATAATGGGCAACCCGCGCCCCGGCAACCATGGGTGTTGCGAACTTCTCTGAAGGCTGAACGGAATTTAAACCGGAAATTCACGAAGTTAAGACGTTGGACTTTCCAGAAATTGGTGGAAAGGGATTTTAATACTTCATTGTGAAAAAAAATTGGTAATTTTGGGTCTTCATAAGATTTACGGAAGTGCAATGCTTGAGACTGCATAGAAGAAATTATCCTTCAGCCATTTGCCGCTCAGACGAAAACTGAACATAATTGTACAGTCGTGAGTATGTGTATTAAATTTGATGTCTGTACTGGGAAAATGCACATCTTGTAAAAACTGCGTATTTATGCTTTGTGCAACCCGTGCCTGCCAGGCACGCACCATCTCACAGTTCTTATATTGTTGGAGGAAAACGCCTATTTCAAGTGTAATGTGTTCTTATAAAGGGTTTTTGAAACTTGAATCTGACTGTTTGGGCCACGAAACGTTCAAAATATTTCCTTCCCTGAATATCAGAGGGGAAATTTAGCTAAAGTGGTGGTGGGGGAGGGTTAGACAAATAAAGCACAATTATAAAAAACTTCCCATATATGTGCTTGAATCCCAATATGCCTAAATACAAAAATTGAAAATGGTGCATTCATACATTATTAATATTCTTGTGGGCTGTAACCTGGTGATTAACAAATCATGCCATGTACGAATGGAAAAGCTGTTTAATTCAAAACTAGCGTCAATTCGTCAAGGGTGATGCTCAACTTGAAGTACAAGGATGCGGAGGGGAGGGCAAAACGGGGTCTATTCCACCAGAGAAAAAGGACACTTAAATGGTTTTCTAAAAGCAGAGAAAACCGTAGTTCGTGGATTGTTGAACCATGACTTTTCAAGGTGTGTACAAGCCCCTACTTTTAGCCTCGCCCCTAAGAAAGGCAAAAGAGATTAGCCTACATAAAGTTCCCAAATTGTTGCCCTTCTCTCCAAACAATTTGCCCTGCCCCAAAAAAATTGAGCGGAAGTCTGGATCTGCCTTTGCATTGTACGATCGTCGCCGTTTCTAAATGCATTCTTGAAGATTGATGGCATGAAGGTTCGAATTCTTTAATCACTTGTGGATTATTTGAAATTCCATAACAAAGTGCATCGACTTTCAATGCAAGGCCTTAGTTTTTGAAGCGTCTTGGAAACGTGAAGGTCTCGAGGAGGGTTCGGCGCTTGCCCCTTTAAAAGTGACGACAGTTGTGCGAGCTCATCCCTGCCTCCACGCCTGTAAATTAGTAATAATCAATTTACGAGAACCAGACTGACGAGGCAAAAAGGGTTAAAGGTCAAGCCTGTGGTAACTTGTTTACATCCGGGCACTTACGATTGTGCGTGATAAGTTTGATTTAGACTGGCGAACTGTTGTCGTTTTAAGCCCTCTGAATTCCGTCAGAATGTCGTGTGCCTTGCATATTTAAACGTCTGTTACCCCCACGCTCTGCTCTTGCGATAATTCTGTTTCAGATTTTCAGCATTTGTCCACCGTTAGTGTTTCACAAGAGCGGCAAAGGGGGAAGCAATACAAGTGAAAGTTGACCAGCTTCACGCGACGTGGCAGGGAACGGCTCCTGACTGTGTGTGTTAATTGTGCGTGCATTCGCCGCAACGAAGTGTCCCCAAGAAACAGTGGTAGGCCTAATTCACTTGAGCGCTCTTTGTTTGTAACGGAATTCCTGACATTGTAACACCCAGGATTAAGATATCAAGAGAATAGACAGTCTTCGCTTTCCAGCTCGCCTGCAATTAGGGATTATGAATCCATGCACGCCGTTATTTGTGAGAGGTCAGTGCTCAGACCTAACTGTGCACCGTTCCGTTTTGTCATTGTAATTTTGTCTTGCGCTGCAGCGCTGTAATGTACATGTAGGCCTAATTGCGGATTGCGTGAGTGCGGGTGTCATAAGCATGGCTGGTGGATGAACGAGGCCTATTTGGCTGAAAAATGGCTGCCCCGTTTACCTGCCAACAATTCAAGATGTTTTTGTGGTAAAGTATTAACAATGCACAATGTGTACCTATCCTAGCAAACAGAGTGAAAAAATGTTGCATCCTGACTCCATCCATTTCAGCAGTGGTGTACAAAGTCTATGGGGAGTGAAGAGAATTTTCCAAGTATTTTCCAACAACATTGGTAAATGTTTCTCAGTCCAGAATTTGTGTCTTTCCAGCATTTCTGTAATGACTGACTTTTATTGAGATGATATATGATGAGAAAAGTGGAGTCAGAATGCAACATTGTTTCCCAATCCAAGAGACTTTCACTTTCTTGTAGTGACCTGTCTCCATCCAGTTTGTTTTATGCCTTTGATGTGGACTCTTGTTGAGTACAGTGTAGGAATATGTAATGTATGTTGGTTGGGCGTGATGTTGAGCTTTGTTAATGCTAAGGTACCCATTTAGATTTATGGTAGGCCTGTTTTTTTACCTAAATATGCTAAATGTGTTAGTTTTTGGTAGTTTCCTTGTCATGCCGTCAATTTTTTTTTAGGGGGGGACCACTATAGTTCGTGTTGGAAGTCACAAACAGTGTGATTTGCATACCAATTGGTTAAGCTTCTGTCACGTCTGTCTTGGGCAGTCATTACTTATAAGACACCTCTCCATTCTACAGTGCTGTATCACTCATTTTTTAAAACTTCTCAGAAGATGTGTGCGAGTACAAGATAACCTCAGCAGCCTCAGAAAGTCTTCTTTCTGCACAACTGAAAGATCAAAGAGTCCTTTTAGGGTGGACATTGCTCAAAAGAATTCTTACCAAGTTTGGCAGATGAGGCCACATGAGTGGCAGGATCCATAAAAAGTAAGGATTTCTCTGCCTTGTATGTAAATACAGTGTCACATGGCACTTTGCTTTCGTTTGACTCTCATCTGTGTCAATGGGCCTGAGAGCAGTAGCATAGAAATTATGTGCTGCTATAAATCAGCACAAAAGCCAGCCTGATGTACAATATACATATACATGTATGCATATATGTGCACAAGTTGAATTGGCTAACTGATGAAATACATCAAATCCCTCTGTGGATTTGCCACTGCCACTGTGAGTGGCAGAACATAATTACATGTATTCCTATATCAGCTCTGTTTTATTAAAGCCTCTAAATCTGCTACCCTGAGATGCCATGAAATTCTCAACCTACACTTCATTGATTAAATTTTGAAAAGTTGGCGAAAGTTTTATGGAAACTTAAGTCACTCCTTTTGTATTTTCTCCAGGCTTGTAGCTTTGCTGAATTCAGCAGAAATCAATTTTACACAGCGTTGAGGCTGTCAACTTGAGTAACCTGGGTGATTGAATAGTCACCGAAAGTTTTACTACAAAAACATATCCTCATCCAAGATCATGAGAAGGGTCATATGAAATTGCCTAGTCTAAACAGTTGGAAAACAAATTGCTAAGCCTGTGTATTTTCAGGTTTTCTTACAGATCACCTGCCGAATGGATCAAAATCCAACACATGAGAATCAAAGCCAGCCGAGTGCAAAAAATGCAACAGGGAGGGTTTTATTGCATAGCGCACACTGCTGAGTTGAGACACTGTGAAACTTAGTGTGCACCGTGCGGGTTTTGTTGACTGCTAAATGAATCTAGCCATGCAGCTGTGTCTGCTGAATTTGACGTGGTCAGGGTTAAAGCTGTAACGTTCATGTGGATGTGTGGTCACAAGTGTATTTTCTTTTCAGAGGAAAAGCCAGGGTGTGTATGGTTTGGGTATGTAAAAGGCCATAAACAGCAACATCCCAACCACTTCTGGGAACATTTTTTTTTTTTTTTGTGGAGAAAAGTTCAGTACTACAGTCTACCAATCTCAGTGATCTGGTTTCAGAAGATTTGCATGACTACTGATAGGGATGTATAGATATTGGTTTGTCGTAATGTCAACGGTTAGTGATCAGGAACCACTTTACATGAGTTGTTGCAGCTATATTGTACACATATGCAATAGTTACGTTCATTCACATCCTGTCCGCATGCTGTGTGTGTATGTATGTGTACATGGCATGTTTTTGTCAGCAACATTGTTACTTACAGTACATTCTCTTGTATTTGTTCTCATATTTTGGAGATACATTTATGACAGTTCATTTTTTTGGGCAGTTGGACATCATGTGTTGTCTGCAAGTTCACTCTCCCCGTGCCTGAAATATTTGTGTGTGTGTGTCAGGTATAGTCAGATATGCAACTGTACGTGTACAATGCATGTATACAAAACACCGTGATGCTGCATTTCAACATTGTCATGAAATCTGCCTGTGATTCCTGCTCTGTTCTACATGTACTTGTTGAAATTTCTGGAAATTTTCTATGAAAAAAAATCAGGGAGTTAGATGCAAGGATTATGAGTGCTCGGTCTGTTTGATGTAAGTCTGTGATTCTCTCCTCATGCATATGAATGTAGATCCAGCAACATGTACACACATGTAGACAACCCAGCATCTCTGTCATTTATTAGAATGTCAGGGAGCTCTCATAACAGTTGCATAAATCTTTGTCATGCGATTGATGAATACCGGTGGTTCACAATAGTGTGCCACCAAGAGTTTGCAACGTGTTGGCCAATCATAACGCGCGAAATTTGTTGACCCTTTCCAAACGGGCATTGGGTCGACAAATTTTCTCACATTTTGATTTGCCAACGCATTGCAAACTCTTGGTGGGGCACTATTGTGAAACGGCCGTATTACATGACATGGAATAATCCTCCCGGTGCATAGTGTGCACCTGCACTGGCAAAAATGCCATTCTTGACGAATGCCCGCTATGCACGGTTGCTCCGTAGATTGTGCTGCAGTGCAGCTGTTCAGACAAAATGGCCAACTCCTAATCCCGACCATCCTCAATCCTTCAAAATCCTCCGGGTGGTTTTGAAGGATTTTGGAGGACTGATGCTGCATGGCAAAATTGCATTGCTGATTGCGAAGCATGCATTGTCTCGAGGTTGTGGGTTAGACCTTGTGGTGTTCCTGTTCAGCCATGCATAAATTCATGCCCACATAATATGTGAAATCCTCCATACTGCTCCTGGATTCTATTCACACTGCCTCAGCATAATGAGAGGGATTACCAGAGGTTTTTGAAGTAGGCACCCCTCCACAGAACATATGCAATATTATTGTAGGATTTTGGAGGACTGAGGCTGTATCCAAGTTTTTTTTCGGGGGGGGGACGGTCAGTTTGATAATTTTGAAGGCTCAAGGTTTTATCCTAGCAGAAAGGGCCTAGAAGGTTAGCGTTAATGATAGATGTAAGGTTGTCTTCTTTCTGGTAATGTAATGCTGATACTGCAAATGTATAAAGAAAAACAATCCACTTTGTTATCAGATAATTAGAGGAATTTGCCAGCCATTCATGAGCAGTCTTTGAGGTAATAATTGATCAGAACTTCCGCAAGGGAAAATGCCAAGTACGTATACATGCAAGTTACCAATCTGATGACAGAAATTTATGCAGGCATTGTACAAAATAAATCATGAATGTTTCACAGTAATGTGGTGGATAGAGACTAATTCCATTTAAAGATAAATGAAATGATCCATTCTGCTTGGTTTTGCTCCATAGAATGGAACATGCGGTCTTTCATGTCATAAAAATAATATTCTTGTTGCAGCTACGTTGAACATGAGTGTGATAGTAACATTCGTTCACATCTTATCCACATGCTGTGTGCATACCTGTATGTGTACATTACATTCAACTTGGCTCTGTCTAGTGGAAAGAGCATTCTGCCAGGCCCTTCATACTGTGTAGGTTACAGACAGCATAAATAATAGAGTACCAAGCCTCTGCGCTAGATATATCGCATAACATCAGTGAACTGTAACTGGAACTGTACAGACTGCTATGGGAACCGTGGAAGATGCTGCTGTGAGTAGGCACACTTTCATTCAATGCAGAGTGTATGCCACTTTTTTTTCGATTGAATGTGCACAAAGGCTTTCCCGTACCATCTTTGCGTGACAGGTATAGACCTTGCGCGGGACACACGGTTACAAAATGCTCATCGGTACCAGTGGTATTCCACATTACATTAGACTAACGCATGGTGTCCATAGCTGCCAGTAAAACTTAGAAGCTGTAATGCAAAACACTTCCTGCCTGCTCATATTGATATGGACAGGTCACCAGTCTAGGAGACACAACTCCCAAGTAGACTCACAGAAGCAAGAACTTGGTAAAGAGGTTAGAAAATAACCTAATATTTATTCACGTTTATGTGCATGCATTGCTTGTGGCCTGACAATACACAAATTTGTACATTGACACATTAGCTCTGTGTAAGTGTACACGTTCCAGAATAGTTTTTTTTGGGGGGAGGGAAAATTTGCAAAGATTGCATCGTTATTGGCTTTTTCAAGTATGGGAAAGATAAATGGGGCTTTTAGCAGGCTTTAGGGGAGAAAGGACATAAATCATCCCCATAAGTGTAACATGAAAAAAAAGGTAATACGGGAGGGCTGGCCCTGTCTGCTCTTCTGGATTTGATACTATTTGACTGATACTATGTTCACATGTACAGTTGCTGCATACAAGTGCTACTGTGGAATCACATGCATTTGAATACAATAGTGGTTGTATTTTTTCTCTTATTTGAATATTAATCCAGTTGTATCCATAGGACCTTTGTTATGTTGCCGGGTCATTCCATGAGGTTGGGGCACAGTTTGTAAACGGTGTCCAATGTTACGTGAGTTCCATAAAATGAACAGCTGTTTCCCTGCATGTGAATTACAAGTGATGCATCTTGCAAGGCTGAATATTGAGGTGTGTGTTAATTTTACAGAGTAAATGACCTGCATGTATTCTACAGGTCATTTGACAGGTGGTGAAAGTTACCCTCGTAACAAGGACACTGTCACAAATTGTGCCCCAACCTCAAGGAAGGACCCTGCTGCATTGGGCATTGCAGTCAGAATGACCGTCTATGAACACATTGTTTGAATTCACACTGATTCATCTTTGGTTTCCAACGTGTTATATTTCTGATTGATACCACGAATCCTTGATAATCCACCAAATTAAATTATGCTTCGTAGCTGGCATGCTGGTTTTCCTCAGTGCGCATTTTTTTGGCAGTAATAAATTCTGAATTTATTGGTTGTGGATTTTGTGGTTTGGCATAATTTGTATTCAGACATATGTAATGATATGGCTGTCATTCTGTGCACAGATTTCTAATGTTTTATTCAGTATCAGAATCTTCGAAACACGTATGTTCATGAACGCGTGCGAATGTGTATGCATGAGACATTTATGCGCATACTTACTGTATGATAGGCCAAAAACTGCATGTGCCTGTTTCTAGATATAATGACTATTAGTAAACAATATTGCTATTGTTTTACCCGGGGGAGGCTCTTGCTTTTCTGACTCAATGTTTACATGGTACAGAGTGCATGAAACTTCTAGGAGTATGGGCCCTTCTGAGGGTTTGTCCTCATCACATTGCTTGGCCAGGATTTCCTGACGTTATCCCAGGTTTTTGTTGCTGGGTATTCAATCCAGAGTTCCTGGCATTCCAAGCATCTGCAAAGTTTGCCTCAGTTTCAATTCCCAGTGCTCAGAAACTTAAGAAACAAAACCAAAACCTGAGAAGTTATAAATTGCATTGGCAACTGAAACCTGGATGAAATCCATAGTTTCCCTTTTTTTTTTTCAAATGTAACCCCAGGGCACACCCTGAATCCTCCAAAATCCTCTAGTGGCCCTAGTCCAAAAATTACATTCATCCGCAATCCTCCAATCGTGTGTTTAAAATGAGAGGTACCCAGCTCCTCGGTCCTTCAAAATCCTCCGGCAATTCCTGCCATTATGTTGAAGCATTGCAAATGGCTTTCTCGTTCAGTACGTTGATTTTAAAGTAATGTCGGGCTCAATTTATGCATAACTACATGTAAGTATAGACAACACAAGATTCAACCTGGGAACTTTACACATGGCATCTTTCACAATCAGCCATACACTTTTGCCATTCATCCTCATTCCTCCAAAATTCTCCAAACCTGCCCAAAGGACTTTAAAGGATTGAGGAGGGTTAGGGTTAATGGAAGTTCAGACTACATGTACATGTAGCAGAGCCAGAAATTCAATACTTCACCTGTAGCCGATTAAAACAAATGAATGTCATTTGGAACATTTATGAAATGCAAACTGCAGCATATTTCACCAACTATGCAGAATTTGGTGCAGCAGTGCAGCACGTTTTCATGTAAACAACTTGGACCAGAACAATTGTTCTCGTGATAGTTGTCTTGAGGCATTCATATGTAGCAAAACAGTCAAAAAATTATATGTACACCTGCCATTTTGAAAATGTCAACTCTCAACCCTTTCATAGGTAACTGTGCCATTCCATAGATCAGGAAGACAAAGCTACAGATATCTAGTGACGAGTGCACATGCCCTTTCTGAAAAGTCACAGTTTCCCTGTCATCTGTTGATGGTGTTGTTTGTTTCAGATAATATGCCTTTTAAAATGGGTGCATAAGTTGTCCCAACCGTTATTTGTGGTACCATTTGCAAGCCTGTGCACTGTGTACCTTTCGTGTAATGCATCGTAAGTTGTTGCACTACCTGTGCTGTGAAATGTGATATAAAGTTAGGCCATTGTGTACACGTAAGAGTAGAGACCATGAACAGTAGAAGTATTGCTTAAAGGCGTTTCCATTAATGAGCAGGAATGCATATGTATCTTCCTGCCTATACCCTATTTTTTAAATCATATTTATTTGTATATTTGTTGGTCAAATTAATTCCATAGTGGGGCAAGTACCCCTCCCTCCTTGGCACCCATGTATCAGTAACTAGCGGCCCTGTATATTTAAAATGGCCCTTTTTCGCCGTCAAGTAGTCCGTCAAGATAGTCCGGTAAAAGCAAGTTGGCCTGATAGTGTCACTTCTGGACTGATAAGTGTTTTTTGGGGGGTTGTAATCACATCTTACAGGAGGATGATTAAGAAGTCGGAGCCTGATGGCGAGAGCGGAGAGAAAGAAGAGGAAGGCGGAGGGGGAGAGAAGACCAAGAAGCGATCAGAGACCCCCACCAAGGCCAAGGTGGTCAAGTGGCAATATGATGCCGTAAGTGAACTCTCTGCAGGAATCGGGGGGAACTGTTTTAATAGTGTGACCACGTGGAGAGGTTGACATTTGCATTGTTTTTCGTGTATCGCACTGCGCACGACCTTTACAGCAAGAGCTAAACGAGAAGTTACCATTAATGTGACTTCAGAGTATGGAAACCTCATCCCTCAAAGGATGACTTGCCAATCTGCATACACAAGTTATTCTTTTTTTCCAGCAATACATGCACGAGAGAACCATATCTGACATTTCTGACCGCATGACTTTTGTCTTGCATCAAAATGTGATATTCATAGAAGTACAACGATGTAGGTCCATATATTCAATCAGATTCACGAGGTGATCCGTCTTGTTTTGATGATATTGTCTTGGTGACATACATGTGTGGGGTTGTCAGAATTTTCCAATGTGGAAGGTTTGAGGGGGCTCAATGTTACAGCTGTGGGGTAGTCAAAAGAGATTTTCAGCTTGAGGTTAACTGTTGTTGTTTTGTTGGGGGAGGGGGACATTTGGATACAATGAATCCTAACACTCAAGGCTCTTCTCGCTTGGATGCATTCAACATCCTGCAACTGTCCCCAGGAAAAAAAAACTTGCTCCCCAAAAGTCCATTTCTTGCATGTGTTCCTGGAGGAGTTGCCACTGCATCGATCATTCAAAATATTCGGGCAAGTCCCGTCATTGCGTTGAGGCAGTGCAAATGATATGCCAGAGCAGCGGGGATGTTTTCAAATAAAATTTAAGCCTGACTTCATGCACAGCTGAGCATGAACAACACAAGGTCTTACCCAAGATCTCGACACAATGCATTCTTTGTCATCAGCCACACGTTTTTGCCATTTAGCCTCAATCCTACAGAATCCTGCAAAATCTACCCAGAGGATTTTCAAGGATTGAGGAAGGTCAGGGTTCAACATGTTACTGTCTGCAGACTAGAATATGCACTGTGGGTTTAAGAAAAATTAATCCTTGTGGCCATCGGTGTCTGTCTGACTATAACGTTCTCTTTGATATCATTGGCAGGATGCATTGCACAAGCTTCGATACAGCCCAGGTACCAAGAAGAGACCCCTGTGCTTAGCTGAGGAGTATTGCGAGTGAGTATAGGACTGAACTACTTTGATACCGGGGGTCATTTGCAGTTAATTGGGCATTGCTGACTGTGTTAAGGGCACTATGGGCCTGAAGGCTAGATGAAACTTGGCACAAAAGTGAATACTGCACAGATCAAGCATCTGTGACCTGTCAGGACAAAGTGAGAGTAAAGTCGCATCCCACTTTTTCCTGTTTTGAGGGTTCAATGTCATTTTGAAGTAGAGGTCAATTTGGGAGGTTCTTAACATTTGGAAAGAGTAATCTGCCTCCTATTTAATTCCAAATATTTTGCAGAATCTCATGTTTAAAATGTCATTTTCTTAGCAATTTTTACGATAGCATTATTTGTGCCTGGTCTGAAATGTTGAAACAGTGTCAGGAACAAAGACGCAAAGCTGCCAGAATAATGCCACATGGTCACCTTATACTTTTACCCTAAGTATTTCATGTACGTACGATTGGAAAGCTCTCTTTCTGCTGAATTAAAAAATACCAATATCTCAGTTTTTGAAAATTCCGACTTTCAGCTCATTTTGTGGTGACAGGTCACAGTTGTGCTGTGGATTCCAAACAGTCGAATGCACATCGCGTTACATGAATTTTGCTGCAAATGGTTTGTGATGGGAATATCGCTTGACTCCGGCATTCACCTGAAGCTTTTACACCTACCACAGATCCCCTAGTGTTCTCCAAAAGCCATGATTGCCATGGTGGAGGCATAACTTTGCGCAGAGTGCACACTTTCAAGAATATAGAGTGCTGGGTTCACAGTTGTCAAAGTCACTGTCCTACCTTCATGCCATGTGTTAGCTTGCTAGTCTTAACAGTTTTGGATCACAATTTTGCTGTGACGGAATAAGAAGCGATTTATAAACAGTCATTTGCTCATAGTTAAAAATTTGATCCATCTGTTCTAAGATGTTTGTGTAATGATTTGACTTTCACTCCAGTGAAATGTGCATGAAATTGTGCTCGTGGATTTTTTTCCCCGCCAGTGATAATGGTATTTGGGATCCAGAGAAGTGGCATGCTGCATTATCAGGGAAGAGGTCACGTGGTCCTTCACCTTTGACCCTCCAGGAAGGAGGTCGGGACAGAAAGAAATTTCCAGGTTTGAGAACTTTCTGAATTTCTGTTTTTGTCGCTGCTGTCTTCATTTTAGGAGCAAAGATCATATTTCATCCCTTTCAGCAGTTGTTGCAAGTCACATTTCTTCACAATTATACTCGTTTTAAGTTTTAAGACATGAAAATACGTAAGTAGCTGTGCAAAAGCTTTACATTTCCAATGCACCCTTTTTACTGCTCCATAATACCGGCTCTCAAGATACTTTTGATCGAAACCTTCCCAAATCCTCCAAATCATTGCACTGTACACATTCTTTGTACTTGAGCATTCAAGTAGTTGGACTTGTACGCCAGCATTTCTACATGGGGAGCTGGGCTGTACTGTAAAGCCTGCAAAGGCAGCCATAATCTCCTGATGAATTTTGACAGATCTGGGTTACGGTCAGGAGTTGCAGCATGTTTTTTTGGCAGGTTTTTTTTTCGTCATAAATCGTTGCTGGCAATGCACGTGGCACAAGGTGTGATCTCTGCAACAGTGTCTTTTAGCATGAGCATGAAAAATGATGTATTGTTATTGCAGCCGTGTTGTCGGATCTGTGAAAAGTTTTAAGGAGTTTCTTCTCAAGAGTTCCCTCTTTGATTGAGCTTTTAAGGGCTTTGCAATTGTCTGATGATTCCGGACTTGTGATCAAGTATGTGACAAATTGTTCATAATTGTCATAAACATTCAAGTGAATGTTGACAAAACGATTCCGTTGTTTTGTCGTTGACTGGATTACAACTCTGATTGATTTCATGCACCCCACTAATTGGTCATTTTCCATGTCAGGTGATGTCAAAGATCGCCTGAAAGACGATAAGGACGGTATCATTCTGAGCCCCCAGCGGCGTAGCTTCGGCCACGGCTGCAGCGTCACCACCCCGCTCAACACCTCCCTGCCCGCCCACCTGGGTGCCAACTTCAGCGAGCGGGGAGAGGGGAAGGAGGCGGTGGCCCGCAGCGTGCCCGCCCGGCGCATTGGCAGCGGCCGCATCATTACCCGCAACCGCTCGCTGGACCAGGAGGAGTCCGAGACGCGGGAGCGGAGGGAGGCTGGGAGATACGAGGACAGGGGGAACCAGAGGGTGTACAGCAGGCGGGGTAGCTACGGCAATGCGGACCGGTCATGTGAGTAGGAGTGGTTCCATGGGGGGTGTTGGGCTTTTGTGACTCATGGACCTTGGGTTCGAATCCAGCAGCTGGTTACATGTTGTGACCTTTGGCAAGACACTTTCCTCCTTCTTGTATCTCTCCACCCAGGAGTCTAAATAGGTACATGTACCTGTAAATGTAGACGTGGTCACTGTGTTTGATTTGCACCTAAAATGCAAGTATCGAGCTGTATGCTCCCCAGGGTGCTGAGATGCTTTTTGGAATATTCATAGGCCAGTCGAGCAAGGATCATAGTAATGTTTGATACCCTAACCCTCCTATGCTGAAGTCACTTTTTGGGTCATTTGGTGAACACCTCAAAGAAGCACAGCTGTGTCGTGTTGCGCACTGCACGAACAGTCCCTCACAGGAATATC